GTCCTCAGAGGGAACGGCTTTGCGATCGGACGCAGCAATGAGGGCGTCGTCTGCAGCTTCATAGTTGGCCAGCAAACCTTCAGTAAGTGGAGAAAACCCAGAGTAAAAGCTTTATATACATACACCATGTAGTCTTTTAATGTCATAACTCACTGTGTTGGACTTACGTGGACTGGTCTGTGCAGTAAACTGATGGTGAGCATGCAGGATTCAACTCTGCACAGTTATTGATTAATAATTTGAAATATACAACACAGGTTCCAATCATAGGACAGTAACTCCCCTTTAATTAACTGCTGAAGCCACATTGTCCGATATAATCATGATTATATCTGACAATGACCAGAACGATGTCCTGACGAGCTCGTTACATCCTGCACAACCGAGTAATCGTTGCAGCTAAGCTGTCAACACATTCACATCTAAAACTTTTGCAAATATTTGCTCAGATTTGTATTTTTACATTTGTGTCGTAAGTTTAAATTTTGCTCGTGGCTTTAAAAAAAACTACCAGGGAAGTCGAAAATCATAAAGAGGAAGTCGGCATGTCCGCAAAGGAATTTTTTATGAAGACAATATCATGTGGCTGTCTACCACCATTTGTCCATCCGGTCTTTTTTGTACAGAAATATTTTCTTTGCATGACCCGTATTTCTTTGCTCCTGTCAGTAAATATGTTTCCCAATCTTCTGACTAAAGGGTTCAAAATTAAATTGGGTTGAATCTTCCTGTTGCTCACGCGGCAGGACCATTGTCTTCACGTCACGTCTCCTGAAATGTCTTCTTTATTTATGTGCTGACAAACAGTGTTGGTCAAGCTGCTTGAAAAAAGTAATTAGTAACTAATTACTGATTACTTCTCTAAAAAAATAATCCGATTACGTCACTGATTACTTATTTTCAAAGTAATTAGTTACTTAGTTACTTTTTGAAAACATGATACACAACCTGAGTGTGTCATAAAGCAATAGACCTTTCAGCCCAGTTCTATTTTTTCTGCATAATACATCATAAAAACTGTAATCACATGAAAAAGCCTCTTTTTAAATTTTTTTTTAGTTTAAATCTTTTAATTTTATGCACATTGCATCAAGCAAAAATTAAACTATATGCAACAGTTTTTGACCTGAAGAAATTCTTTAACATTTAACCCTATTTTCTGCATATTCCAGCATATAAAGTAAAATATGTTTTTGTGTTTACACTCTTTCAAATAGATGCAAGTAAAACAGCAGAAAAGAAATAAAATCAAAGATTCAGCAGCAGATTTAAGAGTCCTGTCGCTCTTAAGTCTATTGTCACCTGTTTAGCAGGAGTGGGGCGGGTGGAGGTTTGCCCGGCGCCACAGCGGTCATGTCAGTGGGGGGATCCGGGGGTTTCTCTGTGAAGTTCACATTCCCGTGGCAGCGTGCTCGATGCTTGCTCAGAAGTTTAGAAGTTTTCTTCCCACGCAGAGTGAACAGCGGACGCTAATGTCTTTGTCACTTTTTACAGAATCAAAACTCAAAGTAATGTGATTACTTCCACGCTTTAAATGCGGCATGGTCGTTCGCTCTCCCGCTCTACATATTATCCATTGTTGAGCTGCACACGTCCGTTACCACGAATGTCGCACACAAACAAAATCACAGTTTAGTAACGCAGTAACGTAGCGTGCTTATAAGTAAAGTAACAGTAATCTAATTACTTTTTTTGCAATAGTAATCCCTTATTACTCGTTACTTGAAAAAAGTAATCAGATAACAGTAACAATAACAGGACTTTATATTGCAGAGTAAAAACCAATACATGATGGGGAAAAACTCCAACAATAATATGAACCCTTATGGACAAGCACTTGGCGACCGTGGGAAGGAAAAACTCCCTTTTAACAGGAAGAAACCTCCAGCAGATCTGGGTTTAGAGACGGGCTTCCATCTGTTGTTAGAGGGGAAAGAGAAGAGGGCAGATGGGACAAAAGGTGCACATGGGAAAGAACAAAGCAACCACCAAACCTTAAAATGTGTACTGTGGACATTTTTCTTCCCAAAATTTGGAAAATAACCCAAAACTTGCAATAATAATCGCAGACTAACCCAAAATCTGAGCAATGCCCTAAAAGCAAACAGTAAGTGTTCCATCTGCACTGTGCTCAGCAAATTGTGTTGAATGTTTTTGTACGCTGCATCCTGAAATAGCTGTCTGCACTCTGATTAAAGGTTTCCCCAGAGCCACGCTCGCAGTAACAGACACTCCACCCTCTTTCTCCACTGCTATGAATGGATCTTATGTGTGTTCATTTACAGTGGAAAAACAATGAGGATTTATTGTCTTTTAAGGACGTAACGTGAGCGACACAGACATGGAATACAGTATGTGTTGGAAAATCTTCAGAGGTCGGAAACGGCAAAACAAACCCGGCCCGGACATGTCTGTTATCTCACTCATCTCAATGATCTGAATTCAACAGAAGGAAGGGGGGGATGTACAGTAGGTCACCGCGCTCCTTATTTTGTGCTTGCAGTCTGTTCTGATAAGAAATCCTTTTTTTAGGAAGCAAACGGGATTTGGCACCTAGAGCCAATCTTTTAAAGCTCTCATTTGGCCGTGGGATCTGTGGGATCGGTGACTGCCAATGACAACACTTCCATCCTTGACAAGTTATTTTTGATTTTCAACATTTCAACTTGACTAAAATACTTGGAACATATTTTTTCCCTTTAAAACATAAATTCATCTGATTTAGGAAGCGGCCATTAGCAGATGTCTTCCTGTTAGTCCTTTCTCAGTTTAGGCTGTCTCACATTCGCCCACTTGGGGCTATTTATTCCCTTACTGGCTTTTGCATGTGTTCAGTCCAGACCTTTTTAACAGTGGGGCACCTTATAATTATGGACAAGCATCATGGCAGCTATGGAACACAGCACATATGTGAAGCAGATGCTTCACTCAAACCAGTTGGATCCCTCTGTAGAAAAGGAGGAACAAGTTTCAATCATCAGAGTGACCTCTGTGACGCCTCAGGTTTTTGTCAACCTGTGCTGATGAACGCTCTCAGATTATAATCCAATTATTTATTTTATTTTGTGCCCAATCGAGTCCCAGCTCCAAAATCTCATAGGATAAAAAATCCTGAGCATAGAAGAAATGTTCATTAATACAAATCAGTTAAAATGTAACAATATCACTGATTTTTATTCAAATGGGATAGATACAGGTCTATTTAACCTCCTAGGACCTGCCGTCCACATATGTGGACATCACATTTTTGGTTATTTAGACCAAAATACTCAATTTTGCTCTACAAGGGCCTGATATCCACTTACGAGCAGTGTTGGTCAAGTTACTTGAAAAAAGTAATCAGTGGCTAATTACTGATTACTTCCCCAAAAAAGTAATCCCGTTACTTTACTGATTGCTTATTTTCAAAAGTAATTAATTACTTAGTTACTTTTTAAAAACA